TTCTCCTTACGAATCTCTTCTTCTTCCTTAGGCGTGAAATCATTCATGATGTTGAAGGTCTTGCGGATCTCTTCAAGTGTCTTTCCCTTGATCATGTCTGCCACAACTTGGCAAGTCAAATCCAGCAAGCTCTTGATGTTCAGATAGTTTGCAGCCAAGATTAGATCAAACATAATGCTCTGATCCACCTTCACGAACTCAGCATCCCAGTTCTTCATTCTCGGCATTGGCATCAGCCTCTTCTTCATGGTGCTCCTTGCAGTAATCGATCACCTTCGCTAGGGTGCTGCTGGTCACGTTTGTTGATGTGAGTCTCCTAATTAATCAAGGAGATTTATTTCCTTGATTAATTAAGGGATTTACTTTCCTATTTTATATAGTTATCAAATCATTATATAATTAACAGATATTATCCTAATTGATTACTGTATCTACTTCCTTGTAAAGCACTCATGTAAACTCTTATATATACCCATTTATGGAGAAGAATAAAAACTAACCTAAAGTATTCGAATTATATTCATATTTTAGCATGGTATCATAGGAATCGATCCTAGGTTATCTCTAAACCCTTATCTCTCACATTCAAATCCAAATTCCTCAAAAAAAAAATTCCCAAATCCAAATCCTTCAAATCTAAAGTCCTCAAATCCTCTTATCAAAATCCCTAAACATACCCTCAAATCTTATACACATACCTCTCAAATCCAATTCCTACATCAAATTCATACATTAAATTCCTCAAATCAAATTCCTCAAATCAAAATTCCTCACATTCTCATATTACATCTTACTTCCACTGCGATGTCAGGAACCCCTACGATTCTCCCCCTTATTGCAAACTCACAGAAGCATGCGGTCAATCTTGCTATCCCGGCTCCTCGGCGTCATGCTTTTATCGACACCACCAAAGGTTTTGTTTTTCATACATCCTCTCAAAAATCTGCATGAATTATCGACTCGGGTGCTACGGATCACATGACATTTGATCCTGGCCAATTTGTTAGTCGCAAATCATCCACTCCATCGGTGGTGTCTAATGCTAATGGTACCCCCTCCCCTGTGGTTGGGGAGTGCTCTCTATCTCTCTCTACTTCCTTACATCTAGATTATGTATTGCTTGTTCCATCTTTGGACCATAACTTGTTGTCTGTTACACAACTTACTACTACTTTGGGGTGTACTGTAACATTTGGGCCGAATCATTGTGTTTTTCAGGACATCCTCACAGGAAAGATGATTGGTTGTGGTACTCGGTGGGGCAAACTCTACTACTTAGACTGGGCACTGGATAGTGAGATCAAGGTTGGTCAAGCTTTCACAACCAGTGGAACTCGTTTTGAGGGGGAGAGAGAGAGACAAAGTTTGGTTATGGCATAAACGTCTTGGGCATGCCTCGTTCGATTATCTTAAGAAGTTGTTTCCATCATTATTTTCCAGTCTTAATGTTTCTAGCTTCCAGTGTGATACGTGTGAATTAGCTAAGAGCCATCGTGTCCTGTTCCCATTAAGTTCACATAAGAGTTTGGTTTCGTTTTCTCTTATTCATTCTGATGTTTGGGGACCTGCTAAAATTGCCACCCCTGCAGGAGCTCGATGGTTTGTCACGTTTATAGATGATTGCTTATGCATGACTTGGGTTTCCCTTCTCAAAACAAAAGGGGAAGTCAGTTCAACGTTTCAACAGTTTTAACAAATGGTGGAGACTCAGTTTCATGCCAGAATTCAAGTTCTTCGTTCTGACAATGGTAGAAAATTTCTCAACCATGATCTTACCCAATTCTTACAAGATCATGGCATCATACATCAACGCTTATGCCCTTACACTCCCCAACAGAATGGGGTGACAGAAAGAAAAACAGACATTTATTGGAAGTAGTTCGTGCCTCTCTCTTTGGTGCCAATATGCCACAATCTTTTTGGGGTGAAGCCGTCATCTCTGCAGCATACCTCATCAATCAGATTCCCTCTAGTATCCTAAATTTCCAAACACCACTTCAAACACTTCATTACCATATTTAAATACCTCCCACCCCAAACCTAGAACCCCAAATTTTCGACTGTGTGGTCTCTGTCCACTTATATGATCACCAACGCAGCAAATTGGATCCCCGAGCCGAAAAATGTGTTTTCATTGGTTATGCACCTCATCAGAAAGGATACCAGTGTTATCATCCTCCTAGTCAGAAGGTCTATACTTCTATGGATGTTGTGTTTCGGGAACACGACATATATTTTTCAACCACATAGGAGGAGCATCGCGACTCCAACACTTCTCAAATTTTTGAATTTTTTCCTCCAGATTCATCTCTGCTTGAAAACGACCGGTTGCGGGTTGAAATCAACTGATCGCGAATGACTCTGCTTGAAAACGACTGGTTAGTGATGAATCTGCCATAAAACGATCGGTCACAGGTTGGAAGCAACCAGTCGCTCCCTGAAAATATGTTTCAAACCGATCTGCTTCAAAACGACCGGTTGCTAGAGGACAACAACCGGTCGTCTCCTTGCTGTCAAACTCAAGAGGAGGAAATTGTCAAGATTTTGCCCGCTCTGGAGAATTCTTCAGCTCCATTACCACACCAATCACATGCTGAGGACGTCATTCATGTAACATCTTTTCCTGAAACTGATAAGATTAATGAAATATTCCATAATGATTTGATTTCAGAAGGCACAGAACATGCATATCAGATTCTAAAACAAAAGAACCGTGGCAAACCTCCAGCAAAGCAGATCTTAATGCAAAAGGGAAATATCTCATCAACAATTATGTATCTCTCAACAGATTATCAGAGTCACGGGTACACTTTGTGAAGCAGTTGGTCGAAATATTTGTCCCCAACAGTGTAACTGAAGCACTAGAAAACCCCAAATGGAAAAAAGCCATAAATGAAGAAATGCGAGCTCTCTAGAAGAATGGCACATGGGAACTCATGTCATTACCTCATGGAAAGAAGACAGTGGGATGCAAGTGGATTTATACTGTGAAACTCAAAGCAGATGGATCCATTGAAAGATATAAAGCTAAATTGGTGGCGAAGGGGTACACACAAAGATATGGGATAGACTACCAAGAGACCTTTGCCTAGTAGCCAAGATTAAAACTATCAGAGTCCTTCTGTCTCTAGCAGCAAATCTCAATTGGCCATTACATTAGTTTGTTGTAAAAAAATGCATTCTTATGTGGAGACTTGGAAGAAGAAGTATATATGGACTTACCACGAGGATGTAACTTAGCTCGTGACAAGGAGAATCAAGTTTGCAAGCTCAGAAAGTCATTGTATGGGTTAAAGCAATCTCCTAGGGCATGGTTTGGCAGATTCACTAAATTCATGAAGAATTTTGGATATATACAGAGTAATGCGGATCACACTTTGTTCTTGAAGCGTGATGGAAGAAGACTTACTACATTGATTGTTTATATGGATGACATAGTCGTAACTGGAAACGACACAGGAGAGCAATTGAAACTGCAGAAGTATTTGTCTCGAATTTGAGATGAAGGATTTAGGTGATCTGAAGTACTTTCTCGGAATTGAAGTTGCAAGGTCCACAACTGGTATATTTCTATCTCAAAGGAAGTATGTATTGGATCTACTCACTGAAACAGGAACGCTGGGATGCAAGCCTGCTGACACACCCATCGAGATGAATCACAACTTGTGTGAAGACATGGATCAAGAACCAATCAATAAGAAACAGTACCAATGCCTTGTTGGAAGGTTAATATATTTAGCCCATACAAGACCATATATTGCATATGTTGTGAGTGTGATTAGTCAGTTCATGCATTCACCCAGTGTGTCTCATAGGAATGTAGTTGATCGGATCTTAAGATACTTAAAGTCAGCCCCTGGGAAAGGATTAATATTCTCAAAAAATGGAGATCTTGAAGTTGTTGGATATACATATGCTGATCGGGCTGGCTTCATTACTGATAGACGCTCTACTTCAGGTTACTTTACTTTTGTGGTAGGTAACCTAGTCACTTGGCGGAGTAAAAAATAAAATGTGGCTTCTCAGTCTAGTGCAGAAGTAGAGTATTGAGGAATGGCTCACGGAGTTTGTGAATTACTATGGCTCATAAGACTATTGACAGAATTGGGCTTCAAGCCTGAAAAGCCAATGAAGTTACATTGTGATAACAAGTCAGCCATCGATATTGCTCATAATCTAGTTCAACATGATCGAACCAAACACGTTGAGGTGGATAAACATTTTATTAGAGAAAAAATTGAGAAGAAGATCATCCGCCTACCATTCGTAAAATCAGAAGATCAACTGGCAGATATCTTAACCAAAGCTGTTTGTAGCAGAATATTTCATGACCCACTTACCAAGTTGGGCATTGGTGACGTATATGCACCAATTTGAGGACACTATGCCAAAATAGCGTGGTATAGGCAACGGATATTATCCGTGGCCTTTTTATACTTACAACATCGGATATTTAGTAAACTCCAATGGATAAAGGCTTTCCATGTGCCAAAAAACGTTGACTTCTGACGCCTAAACCTAAAACAACATCAGTTGTTTCAAAAGGGAGGAGGCTAAAGAGGTTTTACAGCATCGGTTATATATCCTATACTGATGCGTATTATCAATTACAACATCGCATAAACAAATAGTGCTGTTGCAAATTATGGTATACGTCATCACTTTTCCTATTTTGCAGACATGATAAACCTCCAATAGCATTGGTTGTTATGTAAATGCTAATGCTACTTCTAATTTTAGGCATAAGTGATCATAAATGTTTGATTGTTGTTTTAATATTTTAACTTCAGTTATTTTTGCAAAACTGAAGTTATAAATAACAGGCATTACTTATGTAAGAAAAGTGTAGCCATTTTGCATGTTTCACATCACACTTTACTTGGTTATTGTCTTAGAATATCAAAAAGACATCATTTCCAAATCATGTTGTGTTGCCATTGCTCATAAAAAAACATATATATAAACAGTAATTTAAATATATCCACACTTGTCTATATATATATGCGCAAAATACTTGAAAGATCCATACTTATCACACCCAAATTACAATTTTTCCAACGTCACACCACAAATTATTCATACTTGTCTATATATATATGCAAAATACTAGCTAGAAAGACATGAAAAATGGAGGAATGTTTAGTTGAATCAAAAAGCCGTTATAGGACATGAGTCGCCAGTTCTTCTCGCACCTCATCCAATTCCATTTGGGTGTACGTGTCCCGTCTAACTCTATACTGAAAAAAAAAAAAAAAAACATGTAAAATGTAGACACAATCAGCAGAAATATGAACATAAGCTTTAAAAGTGCAAGGTAATAAATTTGCATAAGATATGTTAATCTCTCAAGATACATGATTATAGACCTTAACGAATTCCCATGGGCAGCAACCAGCACGTTCTTTCCATATTGTAGTTTTGGTTCAATCTACGATGCAATCCTATACTGTGGGACGGATCAACCCCCATAACCCTGGTTAGGCCCATAGGTCAATTAATCAGGATGAGCTTCTGACATATAGCTGCAATTAGGGATAATCTTTTCTTTAAGTTCACTGATACCCTCAAAAATAAAGAAATTAAATTTACTTGATCGAGACGCATCACAAGTCTGCAACAGAAGAAAATGCACTACTACTGAGTTGAGATACAAGAGTAAGGAAATACCCCAAGTCGAAATGCAGTCCCTCTGTTCCGGCAATCTTCAGCCAGTATTTTGGTAGCTTGTAAGGCCTCTTCCATGCTGGCTCCAGAGGCAATCACAGCACAGACAATGGCACCTGCAGAGGAACCAGCTAATGGTCGGGTTTCCTCCACAAATCACACACATTCTACTTCTGAATACAGACCTAGAACCAAAGATAATGACTGTCCACCTTCATAAGGGAATAACAGGCAACTTAAAGGCAAGCAAAATACAAACAGAATATTTGCAAAATAAAAAACAATCATAAAAGAAGCAAACTTTTACGATTCATTACCACAATTAGTGCATATGCAACCGAAGCAACCACTCCAAATCCAATAAAACTTACCTCAATCCAAGAATATTACAAAAGAATCAAAGTTACCTTTAAATTTAGCAAGCACAAACAAGGGGATCTTTTATTTGTAGTAAATCAAATATGCTTCTTCGACCCCTCATTGAACAAGTAAATAATGTATCCTTCTCGCATCAATGAACATTGGCAACTATATATGTGTCATGTAAATACCTATATCTTCCTACCAAATTCTCAATAAAACTCAGACACCCTAATTCCAATTAGAAACCAAATTCCAATTAGATCTCAATAAATCTCAATATATGGATGAGCTCCTCATACATATATGTCTTGATGTTAGAAATACATTGTAGTTGACATAATTGATCGAGACGCATCACAAGTCTGCAACAGAAGAAAATGCACTACTACTGAGTTGAGATACAAGAGTAAGGAAATACCCCAAGTCGAAATGCAGTCCCTCTGTTCCGGCAATCTTCAGCCAGTATTTTGGTAGCTTGTAAGGCCTCTTCCATGCTGGCTCCAGAGGCAATCACAGCACAGACAATGGCACCTGCAGAGGAACCAGCTAATGGTCGGGTTTCCTCCACAAATCACACACATTCTACTTCTGAATACAGACCTAGAACCAAAGATAATGACTGTCCACCTTCATAAGGGAATAACAGGCAACTTAAAGGCAAGCAAAATACAAACAGAATATTTGCAAAATAAAAAACAATCATAAAAGAAGCAAACTTTTACGATTCATTACCACAATTAGTGCATATGCAACCGAAGCAACCACTCCAAATCCAATAAAACTTACCTCAATCCAAGAATATTACAAAAGAATCAAAGTTACCTTTAAATTTAGCAAGCACAAACAGGGGGGTCCTTTATTTGTAGTAAATCAAATATGCTTCTTCGACCCCTCATTGAACAAGTAACAAATGTATCCTTCTCGCATCAATGAACATTGGCAACTATATATGTGTCATGTAAATACCTATATCTTCCTACCAAATTCTCAATAAAACTCAGACACCCTAATTCCAATTAGAAACCAAATTCCAATTAGATCTCAATAAATCTCAATATATGGATGAGCTCCTCATACATATATGTCTTGATGTTAGAAATACATTGTAGTTGACATAATTGATAATTTGATGACCAGTAAATAGTTTTACCTGAAAATTCTGTGCTGCAAGAGGATCATTTGGGTTTTTATCCGGATGAACCTGCATTGCCTGCAAGCAACACAAAAGTTTTAATTAAATTAAAATTTGCATATTTGTTAATGCAGTAAGTGTTCATATGCAAAATGATTCATAAAAGAGAATATGGATGGATCTACTATGATTATTGTAGAACCAATTGAGGAACAAGCAACTGAAATAAGCATCAAAATTCTAATCATCCCTAATCAAATTTAGGGCTAACAATTCTCTATCAGCTTCTGTAAACAATCAAATTAGAAAGATGAAGAGGCAAGTGAAGATTACCTTCATGTAATAAGCTTTCTTGATATCGGCCTCGGTAGCCGTTGGGCTCACTCCAAGAACATCGTAATACTGTGTCTCCTTCACCATTTTTTTTCTCCTTCTTCCGATCGGTCAAATTTTTGTTTCGCAGTTCGTGAGGCAATGAGGGAGGGAGGGAGGAACCAAAATAATAAAAATAAAATACAAAAAATAAACAGGAAAAAGAAGATAAGAGAAAATATTCACAATAATAATAAAAAGATTCCCCTACGGACCACTCGGGCTCAAGACTCGTTGTTTCTAATTTTCCCTCTTTTTGTACCAAAAAATAAAAATAAAAGTGAATTAAGAGATCACAAAAATCAGAAACTTTAGATCCTCTTAAAAAGAGAGACTAATCAGAAAATCTTAGGACAAGGATTACAAATGGGAGAAACTTGTCGGCCGCATGATGGACAGTAGTCTTACTAATTTCCGCCCAAACGATGAGTGGATGCCTCCCACATGAATAATTATATTATAAAAGTAATATATTACTATTATTCTATAGCCATTTGTTTGTCAAATCCTGGAAAGCAAGTTCCTCCATTACATATATATATATATATATATATATATATATATATAATCACAAAGAGGTTCGCTTTGCACTTGACTGCTATGTTATGTTATCTCATGTCATTCATAGTTTCTTGTTTATTATATATATATATATATACAGTTATTCTCTTATCCGGATGTCCGCACGTTATTATCGTGCGAATCCTATTGTAAACATGCAGGAAAACAGAGAGGGGTAGTACAAAATACACTGCGTCCGCACGATAATAACGTCCGGATGTCCGCATAAGAGAATTTTTGTATATATATATATATATATATAAAAGCAAGACAAAGACAAAGAAACTTTCGGCCAAACATCCAACTTTGAATGCTTTCACTATTCATTATATATATATAATAGCATAAGGATGAGGAAGGCTCAAGCTTTCCAATCTGGCCGCATGTCTTCATTCCCTTATTTATATTCATATACATATTATACTATCATGAAGTAGGATAGGGAGGGCTCAAGCAAAAACCCTCCAGCCACAACAATTCTAATATTCCAAACTAAAAGACTCGGCCGCCACACCTTTGCCCAAGAACCCGGCCGCATTTTTTCAGCTCCTAGCCCGGCCGATTTCTCCAAGGTGCCTGGGTGAATTATCCCACCTCCACACGTTCATTCACTTTATATATATATACATAAAATAAGTCAATTAATTCCCAACTCAAAACCCTTTCAGCCCGGTTTGCAAAGGAACCAAATACCCCGGCCGCCATTCTCCAAAACTGTGTTTGCTCCAAACCAAAAAATCCGGCCGCAACTTCTACAAAATCCCGCCGAGATATCCTAGTAATTCCAGCCGTGCCCCACCGCACCTTTGCAATTTGCTTTACAAAAACTTTTTGGCCACATCAATTCCAAAGAACTCCAAGCTTTGGCCGTATTCATGCATGCATCCACCCATTTATATATATAAATAAATATATTATCATGAAACATGACATGGAGGGCTTAAAACTTTCCAGCCACCACTCATGCATATTCATTTATTTATATATGCTTATAATATATAATAAAATAGGACAAGGAGGGTTTAAACAAAAACCCTCCAGCCACACACTTGCAGAAGCATCAACTCTAAAATCTCGGCCGCAAACAGACCAAAATTTGGACCCTCCAAACCCCAAGTCTCAGCCACCAACTTTCAAAAGCCCAGCCACCTTTTAGCCTTCAGCCATATTCTAACAACCCCCGGCCGCATTTCACAATAGACCCGGCCGTGCTCTCCCAACCAAGTAGAAAATCGGCCGCATTTTTTCCACACCCTGGGCCGCATCTCAAGCCTCTCACCCCGGCCGACTTCTATTCTTTACACCCAACCAATTCTCTATTTCCAAAAGGCACCCGGGTTTGGTGAATTCTCACCACCCCCAATACTTTCTCTCGGTGTCCGTTAAAATTCGGCTTAGGTAGTACACTACTTGCTCCTTTTTCTCATCGTTGTCTTAGGCCAAGTAAACTTCCTCCGGAGGTTTATAGCTAATTCCACCGGGAAAGTTGAGCCTTTTTCATCTTTGCTAAAACTCAAGGATGAGGAGAAATTTCGATGGGAAGAAGTTCACCAAAAGGCATTTGATTCCATCAAAGAGTATTTGACCAAGCTGTTAAGCTCATAATTTCATACATATACATGCCCAAATTTACTTACTTCTTTTGCTTAGTTTCCTATAATTTTGAGTTATTTGCCTCCCTTTGTGTGTTTTGTAGGCCAAAGGAGCATGAGAGCATAATTCATGCAATTCAAGCATGTTAAGGCCTAATTTGGATGAAGGGAAGAAGAGCTTAAAGACAAACTCATTTTTGGCTACAGCCCCCTGCCAGTCCAGTTCCGTAGGTCATATTGCAAGCTTTGTTTCAGCAACCTACACAGCTCGGATGAGGCAGCATCCTTCATGAAAGTTGTTCCAATGGGTGTGTACTATTACATATACAAATATCAGCCTCATTGGATAAATCTGGAGTCCGTTACCTAGCAAACACAGACCCATGCTCAGGATGGATTTTTGTCAGCGAGCAAAACGAGTTAACAATTTGTTTTGGCCTTAACTTCTTCATCCGAGCCAAGGATTAAAATATCGGCCATGCAGATAATATCGGGCCTCCAATTTACGGATATTTCGGGGGATATATCGTTATCGTTTTATGTATCGGAAAAAAATCAACAAGCCCTTGAAGTTGCTGGTCATGCTGACCTCAGGATGAGCTATTGTTTCTGGTTGGAAGCTTGGTCATGGTGAGCTAGGCATGAGCTATTGTAGCTAGTTGGAAGCTTGGTCATGGCGACATGAAGATGAGATAGGGCTGCTGGTGGGATTTATTGGTGAAGTGCATCAACCAATTCAGATTTTCTAATACAAGTGCATCAACCAATTCATAT